ATGCCTGTAAAGAGATTGAAGCGGAGAGAAAATCTCATAAAATACTCGAATTTCCACCAGCTTGACCTGTTGACAATAATTTCACTTTGCTTGGAACTGTAAACATATAGGGTAAATGTCGACTTCGGCACCCATTGACTATTTTAGGCAATCAAAATTTATACGTTAATTTTACTGCATTTTCCCATCAAAACACTTCGCTGAATGTATTCACACGAGTCCTGAGTCCTTCACCTTCAATCTGTTTACATTTTTACGACTGAGAAATCCTGTTATGATAGATTTTTCCTCAAATGAAATCTACACACTCCAGAATGCGGCTGATTTTGAGTTGCCGATAATAGCACAGCTGGTTAACAAGCAGTTCAAATTGAAAGGTTGTCGTAGAACAAGAGGCTACCGACAATAGTCACACTCATCTGAGAAGCTTGGAGCGTTGTAAAAACGCTTTCAAGCAGTTTTGAACAATTCTGTCAATGGGAATAAATATAAAATCAAGCAGCAGATAAATTTAAACAAACAAACACGTAATATGAGTCCGCATCGTGCTCTCTTGCCGTGCGGATCTATTTGCTTTTTTGCTGAATGAAGTGTTACTACTGTCTAAAGCTATAACAAATTTAAACAGCACTTTTCAGTGCTCAACCTTTAAAATGTTCCTTGTTCAACTCTTATTCCTCTTCAATCCTTGTTTGGACCCTACCCGAGGTAATCCTTCTTGGATATCGATTTGGAAAATTCCTCTTCGATCCTTCAGATTCTTATAGTAATCTGCTTGGAAATCTATTTGGATAAAAAATTTACTGCCGCCATAGCGCGTAAGCGCAAAAGAAAAGGGCAAACTCTTGATCCCCCTCCTGATGAAATTAATTTGAGTAATCAATTTGATTTGCTCACGGATGATGAGAATGATCCATCATCCAGAAAAAATTCTAGTAAACTTTCCCGGCTTAATGCCAAGAAGGAAAAGATTCCTCCTATTTTGATAACCACTTCCGATTTCCATGATTTCTTCGCACGGAACTTTTGAACTTCGTGAAATTTAAGTTTTCACTGCAAATTGGACGTCGAGGTGAATGCCGTGTATTGGCTGAAACCTTGGACGGATTCACAGGTCTTCTCAATCTCAAGTATCTTACTGAGAAAAAAACATATTTTTTTAACTTACGACACCAAAACTGAACAATGATTTTTATTTAGTTCACTTCAAGTCTAGTGAACTAAACAACCTTAAGGCCTTGGAAAAAGCTAGCCTTATGCTCCATGTCCGAGTGAAGTGGGAACACTTCTGGAAGACTGAAGGAAATTTTTAAAACCTCACCCAGTGCCGTAAGTGCCAGGGATGGGGTCACGGAACAAAAAAATACTACATGCCAGCTAAATGCATGAACTGTGGTGATTTCTCTCACGCAAAGGTCGACTTTCCTGTGAAGAAAGATCCTAAGAAATTTAAATGTTCAAATTGTGGTGATATAATTTTATCATTTGCACGTGCTGTTGGAAGCTATAACTGTCCATGGTAATATTTGGAAAGGCACACTGAATAAATGACAGCTAATTTGACAATTGTAGCTTCAAAAAGGGGCCTCCCTTAGCTCAGTCGGCAAAGGCGCAGCTACAAAGCAAGACCATGCTGAAGGTGGCTGGGTTCAATTCCCGGACCGGTCTAGGAATTTTTCGGGTTGGAAAATTTCTCGACTTCCCTGGGCATAGAAGTATGATTGGACTTGCCACACCATTATACCAATGCAAAAATAGTACAGGCATCAAAAGCTCTCAATTAATAACTGTGAAAGTGCATCTAGAACACTAAGTTGAGAGCACGCAATAAGCTAATATGCGATATGCAATAAGCTTGAAATGCGAAGAATAAGATGAGGAAGAAGAAGAAGAATAAAAAATATGGCCGCAATGAACTCTCGAAGTTGGGAAATCCCTATTGGAAAACCCTTTAGTTCAAGAAATAGGATTCAAAGCATTCTACAAGTCTAAATCATGGTTTACAGAACCATTATAAAACCAAAATTGTTACTTGAGCTATCAAACTTCATACATACGCAAATAGTTAAGCAGAAAGCTATATTAATTAATCGTTAATATTTGATGAACCCGCCATGGCTTAGCAATCCCATGCCTTAACTAAGCTATCAGAAGCTCCAAGTTGCCTAAAGCTCTCAAAATGTTTAGGTTTAAATGTCTCTAGCCAATTTGCACCTAGACACTTTTGGAACCGGTAAATCATTGAGATTTATATCAGAATAATCGGGAATAATGCTTACTTACTTACCTAAGGCCTTGTTGTCCTCTGCTGTCCGAAGAAGTCGTCTCCACTCTACTCGATCCATGGCCACATTTCGCCAACCTCGTAGTCTGCGAAGGGTCCGCAAGTCGCCTTCTACTTGGTCGATCCACCTTGCGCGCTGCGCGCCTCTTCTTCTTGTTCCTGTTGGGTCGCTTTCTAGAACCATTTTCACTGGGTCGTCGTGCTGCATTCTTACGACGTGCCCAGCCCAACGTAGTCACCCAATTTTTGCAATGTGGACGATGGATGGTCCTCCCAGCAGCTGGTGCAATTCGTGGTTCATTCGCCTCCTCCACGTTCCGTAATCCATCTGCACTCCACCGTAGATGGTACGCAACACCTTCCGTTCGAAAACACCAAGGGCGCGTTGGTCCTCCACGAGCATAGTCCAGGTCTCGTGGCCGTAGAGCACCACCGGTCCAATCAGCGTCTTGTAGACAGTCAACTTCGTGCGGCGGCGAATTTTATTCGACCGGAGCGTCCTCCGGAGTCCAAAGTAGGCACGATTCCCTGCCATAATGCGTCTTTGAATTTCTCTGCTGGTATCGTTTTCAGCGGTCACCAGTGAGCCCAAATACACGAACTCATCGACCACCTCGATTTCGTCACCGTCAATCTGAACTCGGGGTGGGAGGCTAACATTGTCTTCCCTAGAACCTCTTCCTTTCAATGTATTTTGTCTTTGATGCGTTGATGGCAAGTCCAATCCGCCTAGCTTCAGCGTTCAGTCTGATGTACGTTTCCGCCATCGTCTCAAAGTTGCGTGCCATGATGTCAATGTCATCGGCGAAGCCAAGAAGCTGGATGGACTTCCTGAAGATCGTGCCACTCGTGTCTGTCCCAGCTCTTCTGATCACACCTTCTAACGCGATGTTGAATAGCAGACACGAAAGTCCATCACCTTGCCGTAACCCCCTTCGAGATTCAAAGGGACTCGAGAGTGTCCCCGATACTCGAACAACGCACATCACTCGATCCATCGTTGCCTTGACCAATCGCGTCAGTTTATCCGGAAATCCGTACTCGTGCATAATCTGGCAATCGGGAATAATGCAGGAATTTCAAAAAGGGAATTCAGTAGCCACCCAGCAGAAATCCAGAACGATAAAGAATTTTACACTTCCGGAATTTTAAATATTTTTCATAATGTTGAACATTCTTTTCATTGATTTCCCAAGATTTTGTTATTTGTTGTACGTTTAAGTTCTTAGACCCTTTCCTTTCCAAGGTAGTACAGGGGATCTATAGCTTTTCAGTCCGTCTGACGATTATCATTACAGCTCAAATGGCTTATGGTAGTACCTTACTAGTTACGCTGGGTGTCCGCTGCTGTACACAGAAGTCGCCTTCCACCCGGTCGATCCACCTTGCCCGCTGGCGCTGCGCCTCTTCGTCTCTTTCCCGTTGGTGCGTTATCGAGACTATGCGTGGTTCTCCCAACAGTTGATGCGATTCGCGGTTCATTTGCGCTCTCCACGTTCCGTCTTTCATTTGCACTCTACCGTAGATGGTACGCAACACCTTCAGTTCAAAAGGTCATCCACGAGCATAGTCCATGGTTCGTGGGCGTTGAGGCCTACCGGTCTAATCAGTGTTTTGTAGATAGCCAACTTCGTGGTGCGGTGAACTTTATTCGGACTCCAAATGATGTCATTTTCGGCGGTCAACAGGGATACATGAACTTGTCTACCAGCTCGATTTCATCACCGTCAATCCGAACTTCTTCCTCTCATGTATTTTGAATTCAGTGCATTAATAACATTGACTTCAGTCGTTTCCGTCATCGTCTCATTTTTTTTCGCTATTTTGCCTGGGACTGCTCTAATGGTATTTTTAAGTAATTAAAACAGTTTTTTTTTATTTGTCACGGATTAGTATTTGAAGTCGCGTATGTCTTTTGAGAAATCGCGGATTTTGTTTATAAAATTTTGGAAATCTTGCAACAGTCCAATTATTTAAAAGCGTAGTCTAGGAAGTGCCTAACAACATTGCTGAAGGAACTACGGTGCTAGAATGTCTCTAAAAAAAATATAACTGTTCAAATAGTTCATAGTTCAATCTCATAGGCGGAGTTGGAGAGGGTTGGGGGGGGGGGGTGCTTACTATAGGGGGGCCCCCTCACAATGGAAGTAAAGACTGAAATAACTTCGATCAAAAAAAAACTATGTTCTGAAAAAATGATCTTGTTCACCCATTCTAATAAATATCCACAGCATATTTCAAATTAACGCACAATCGATAGGGTAGCACACTTGCCCCACCATACCCTACTTCTACTAGATCGGACCGAGAAGGAGAGGATAGAAGACAAAGAGAAGGAAAAGCAGCTGGCGCTGGTGACACATAAACCACATACACACTTTAAGAGGGGGTTGTATGGACGATTGTCTACGCAGGGGTGCGGGGGTCTAAAACCTTTGAAAAATGTATACGTAGTTTATTAACAGACCCCTATGATGGAAAAATTGAAATGCTCCAAATGTTTTAAATTAGTTTTATATAGACATTTGAGCCTTAATAAATAAACGAATAAGAAAAAACACATTAAGCTCAACTAAATAGGGAGGTCACCTCCTTTTTCCAAAATAATGTCATCGATGCAGAAGTATGTTGTTTGGAATTAGATATGTGTAGAATTTTCAATTGTTTTGTATTATTCCATTTATTTACGAATTCGATGTTTATTACTGCATTCCAGGATTGCCGCGGATCATTTCCGATCGTCAAATGCACGTACTGCCGTACGGAGTTCCAGCAAACTAGCAAAGGAAGCACGGCTGCTATCTGCAAAAAGTGCGAGCAAAATGTTAAGCAGTATGGAAAGCCTTCTGCATGCGAACTGTGCAACATCATTGCCGCATTTATTGGATCCAAATGTCAAAGGTTTGTGTTAAATCATCATCTATTATCTTCTGTTATAATATCCCTCATGACCCTCGGATAGGAAGTCTTTGTTAATAATTATGGTACGCAGTCTACACATTCCGCATAGACCACATTTAATTGTTAACAATGGTTTCTCGTTTCTCTTCCTCACCTTGATTCACCATTCCATCCAAACTCATAACAAAAACTCTTCTCGACTGTATCAGCATAAGAAATAGTTGCTGTTGCAATGTCTCCAAATTTACGTTTGATTATGACGCAAACATATTTGTACCATTCCCCTGCCTAGGTGTACAAACTCCGAGTTAAAATATGGACCAGCGGTAACTTGCGATCAATGCAAACAGCGATGTGCCTTTAATAGGCCAGACTATAAGGTTAGCATCACGCCAACTTGAAGTGATGACCAACTTCCATGCCATTCTACACATCTTCTGCCATTCGGCCCATCCCCGGGGCCTTAGAGGGGTTTACTGACCACACAGCTATGACGGGCACTGAGCGATGTTAAAATAAACGAATGAAAGAAAATGGATCGAGCACTCGTTCGGTTCAAGAAAATTATCCGAAAACATACCACGCAGAACACGATTGGAGGTGGATCTAGTTTTAAGCGTAGCAATAAATCTACTAAATAAGAGAAGAGAACACTTAAATATACCTAAAGCAAAGCAAGTCAGTATCTAATGAGTGATAGGCAAACTACTAAGATACAGAAAAGCGATGAAAAGAAGATGGACAAGAACAAACCTGTGGCAGTTCGTTTATGTTGCTCTACTCTGTATGTTACACAATGATTTATATAAAAAAAAACATAACTAGACTGTAAGCGAACTGTCAGATTGAAGATTTATTGAAATACTGGTGAAAAAATAGTAAGATTAATAGAAAAAGTAATAATTTAATCAACGCAATTCGTTCGTTAGCATATTAAAAAATATCTCACTTTTAAAAAATAACACAGAAATTGAAACGATTATGATTGATCAGTACTAGGTAGTGAAATCGCACAGAGAACTACGCTGATTCATATTTATACACTCAGTCAAATAACCTACCGAGATCCGTAAAATGCTGTTATGCTCCTGCAAGAACCCTTATAGAAGATAATTAATGTTCATAAATCTCAGAGTATCATCATAAATTCATAAAAAAAGCACAGTGTGTCTCCGATTTTAGCAGAATGTCTCCAATGTATTCAGTTTGCTTGTGCTCTGCAGTTAAAAACCTCAAACCCCATTTAACATTTTTCTGAGACTTTCCGGGTAGTTGTGAAGCTTTGGACGTGATCAGATAGTTGAAATTTGTGGAATGCTTGCGAGTCAGAAGTAGGCTGAAATCTAACCATAAGCGTTGAGATTATTAAGGCTCACGTCTATCAATACGCCTCAGATAGCCTAGTAGGTTAAGGCACGGCATTACCAAGCCGGAGGCGCCGGGCTCGATTTCCGATCCGGTCGAGGAAATCTTTCGGGTTGGAAATTTTATCGACTTTCCTGGGCATAGATTATCGTTGTCGATGCTACACAATATACAAATTCATACATTGGTTGGCAGAGAAAGTTATCAATTTATGATCGTGGAAATACTCCAACAAAAATTACCTTGAAAGCAGACAAAAGCTCATGTAAGAGCCATGGGAAATCGAAAAATCTAAAGATAATCAACGTCCCAAACCTGCTCCACTATGTGATTAAGATTGTGTTTTTAATCAAATCTCAACAAATGGTCGACCTGCAGTCGAAATTCTACTGACCTGATGTGTGTCAATCTTAGTTTAACATTTTGTTTTCAATTGGATATGATAAGCTATTACAGAACTTACCATTACCACACAAAAAAATCATAAAGATGAATGAATGTCCATAGGCTCCATCTTAGGCCGATAAATGTATGGTAAAGTGGGGCAAGATAGGTCAGCTAGTACATTTATTATTTAATTTGCTTGTCAAAATCAACAGGTTCAATGCAACCCCAACGATGGTTAGCCTTTTCAATCCAGCATTGGGGCTACATTGAGCCTGTTGATGTTGACAATAAAAAAAAAAGTTAAAAATAAAAACAAGTAGATGGTTCATCTTGTCTCACACATTACCCTATAGGGTAGAATCGTCCCCTCGAATAATGTTTGAAATGAGTTGTTTTTTCCAAACCACTTTGGTTCACTGTTTCACATAACATTATTATCGTACTTTAAAGTAGAAATTTCACTTAGTAAATTCAACGAAAAGTGTTTTTTTAACAAAAAAAAAAAAACCAAAGATAAACTTGCCAGTCATCATGAAGAGTGCGCAGAATAACAAGAGAGAATGCGCCTGAAGGGTGTAAAAAATAGCACACACATAAACAGCTGTAACTATAAACTATTATACCAAATGAATTGAAATTGTCAGTGGAGATTGTTTAGTCCATAACATAACAAATAATTTTTATGAAGGCCTGAGAGGTGCTTTATCTCAAGTAATATATAGTCATGAGAACAAAAAATGCTGTAGTCTCAAATTTTAAATCAGCGGTTATGCAAGGAAATTCTTTCGTCATTGTTGCTATTGGAACCAAACCAATTTATTTGTCCAATAATATTATTCAAAATATTGTGCAGTTGTTCAGAAATTACACTTCAAACTTTCGTCTCATTTTAACTTAAAATATCTACGCCCTTAAAAAGCGAAAAACAAAAACAGTATTTTCTACCACACTTCATAATCCGTTAAAAAAATTGAACAAGCAATGGAAAAATAAGTAAAAATTAGCAAACTAAATTGTTATGCCACTGTCCAACATTTTTAAGACATTTTGTTTTCTTATTTAAGCCCCAAGTCAAAGCTCGTATTTGAATCATAACATATTCTTGTTCAGTAATCTCTTAAAATTTATTGTTATTTGTTACAACTGTTTACGTGTGTGCAAATTTTATCGAATACATCCTTTAGACACCGAACGACTTAAACATTGCACAGAAATTTTTTTCAACTAAAACAGTACAGGAAATGTACTAAATTCATCACATGCACGGAAAAAATAAGTTATTCGTTTGCCAAATTCAGGCATAACATTTGACAACGGCACAAAAGCATTTGTAAACAAACTTTTTAAGGCCCTTTGCACGCGAACCAAAGTACGCCAACGCAAACCAACAACATCATCGGATAGGGGCAACTATCACCTTTTCGAAAGTGGTATTGGTTTGCGTGGGCGTACTTTGGTTCGCGTTTAAAGGGCCTTAGAAAGTTTGTATACAAATGCTTTTGTGCCGTTATCACATGTTATGCCTGAATTAATCAAATAGTCGAGCAGTTTTGGGACCAGAAGTACCGTGCCGATTCAAATTTCGGACACTTAAACTCGAATTTCGGACACTTTTAAAAGTTGATTATCTCGGTCGAATATGATCCACATGTCTTGTAAATTTTAATTTTTTTTGACTAGTGCCCTCCACGATCATCTAACATTATTACTTTGTTTCTAACTGGATGTAATATTTAATTAAAAATGAAAGTGTCCGAAATTTGAATCGGAACGGTATTTAAAAAATGAGCTAATAATTTGCAGATTTAATAAAAATTGATCCATTGTTCGAGTGGTAGAAAACGCGATGTGATCAATTCTAGACCAACAATTGAAATAGGCGGAACAACACCCAAACGTAAACAATGACTTTGAACACAAATCTCGAGAATCAAAACACACTCACTCAAACTAACAATGCCATTCGATAAAGAAAGTTTGCTCTATCAGCTGCAGGTGTTAGATTGCGTGGATGTGTTTTGATTCTCGAGAAATTAGCGTTTAAAGTTGGTCTAGAATTGAGGGACTAGGCTTAAAGCTCTATAGTAAAAGTATGGACGACTGTCAAAATCCATTCCAATCTAACTATCAATTAGACAGCTAAAATGGTGACCGTTGTCCATACTTTTACTACAGGTCTTTAGCTCAGTTTTCATCCCGTAACCCTATGAGTAGTTCTAATCTGTTCGCTCAATTACAGAGAACAGACATCCAAGTAAAATTCCTAAAGTGTGTAAGAAATTTAACTGCTATTTTGAATAGACATTTGAAACTAGCAATATCGTGGTGGTGCTAGTGTCGCTGCCCATCGACGTCGATGACCGGCAGACGTCATCTTAACATAAATGTCAAAATTGTTGTGAGCAAAACATTGCTTGTTTAAAACCGATCAAAACATGGGCCGCAAGTGCGAGTTTTATTGGTGCGCAAATAAACAATTTGCTACCAAGCGAAAATCTTTTCACAATTTTCCTAAGGATGTGCTTCCATGCGCTTCCATTTATTAACGTCCTTTTAAACGAACCACCTTGAAGAGGTGGAAAAAGTTCATTCAGGACGGCCAAGTCGCAACCAGCACCCAGCCGTTTAGCATCCCCAAGTAGCGATAATCACAGGCTACTGTCATGACGACACTAGCGACTTATAAACAATAGTGCATTAGTGACAACGATGATCCCCCGTTCTTGTTCGCATTACTGACGGCAAATATCACCGCCAGCAACCCCACCGGGCACCGCGTGGAGGTAAGAATCGGAGTTCAGGTGCACAGAGGTCGCAAATCGCCGGTCAGGGCAGAACCCAACAACCATTGATAGGCGTTCTTATGCACCTGCTTTACCCGGCTAAGGCTGTGGAGTCCAAGCGCTTGCAACGAAAAAGTTATGTTCCGAGCACTTCCCCCCGGAGGCTTTTCGAATTCCTTGCAGAATGGATGAAGGGACTGCTTTCCCCTTAAATCTTACCACATTGACAACACAACTCGATTGATTTCCGTTGTTTCGTCTTGTTTGTTTTGAACTGAGTTGACAGTTCATTTGAATACACGGTCAATAAGATCAACCCAAATTTTAATTCAGTTTACTCATTAATCGCACAAAGTGATAACTTTAATTTGTGTGTGTAAGAACATAATTTTTCGAAAAATGTGTTTAAGTTTGGATGTCTGTGGCTCAATTGTTCACAACAGAACGAAGTTACAACTAACTTTAATGGCAATTGAATTGAGCTGCTAATAAATCAAACAGCATTGTTGTGTGCATCAACTTACCACTATGTTGTCAGTTGTCATACACACAGTTTTACACACACAAACTGTTAACTGTTAACTTTTCAGTCAGTAGATGAAACATGGTTCTTCCTAACCCTTCCTATTTCAGAGACGGTTTTGCGTTGTTTTAAGATGGAAAAATGTGTTTTCTAATTTAAAAAAACAGTGCTGGAACAAAAGATGTTCCAGGTGTATATTTTGTGGAAGCTGATATTTCTAGATAGAGTTGGAATTTAGGCGTTAGCACCGACGAACCGACGTGACAGCTCATAGAAGCTGCTTTCAAAATCTTGCCCAAGACGCCATATTAAAAAAAAAAGT